ATAATAAAAAACCGACGAACAATTTTGAACCATTTTCTTCTTTTATTATCTTGAAAAATTAATTTGCTCACGCTTTGAAATCGATTTTTCTTTTTCTCGTCTTTTATTGAATGGGAGCTAATTGATAATTAATTTTAAGTCAATTTCTCACTAATCTTGTGGATTTATTTTCTCGCAAAATTGAACGCAAAGAATGGAGAAATTGACATTATTTAGCTTTTTACGAGCGATAGCAAAATAAAATAAAGCTCTGTACAATTTTCCCTTAAATTCTTTTTTCTTTTTTAAACTATTTCAAATTTCCGAATAATTCCAAATATATTAATTTGGTTTTCTTTTTTAAAATAAATCTTGTACCGAAGAGAAATTTGGCACCTTCGGGTATTTTTTTTTTTCTTTGAACGAACATTATAAGACGCTACGAAATACATGTATACCAATCTTAACACACGAGTTTCTTTTCTTTTTACGAAGACTCTTAGAAATTACAAATTACAAATGACGCAAAGAGTGTACTTAGCAGCTACGACTCCTACGAGAAACGATCTTTTCGAAAGTTTTTCTTTTTTCCTAGAATATAATGTATTTTAGCTTTAACGTTCCGAATATAATATGATCGATCTTTATTTTTCAGCGACGTTAATTTATTTTTTCATTAATACGATTTTATTAAGTGTTTACGACTTGTAAGTATTGGAGCAAAGAGATTTATCGTAATCATATGTGTTTACCGGATATGCTTCGAGAATATATACTTTGACGATAAATTGCTTTCGTTTCATTTCTTTTCAATATTTATCCATCATTAGTTTTCATTTAGACGATTAGAGTAGAATTTAATCACTTTAATCTTCATTATTACTTAGGTATACATGAATTAATTCCTTTGAGAATTTCCAAAGCTGATCGCCATTACTCGCTTTAATTATTGAATTACAATTTTCTCAATTTTCTCAATCTTTATAATTTTAACAATTTTTTTCATTTTATACAATTTTCAAGTGTGAATTTAATTCAATCACCAATTAAATTTAAATCGCCAATTACTTAAAAGAACTTGAAGTAACAATTACTTAAAAATTTACAATTACAATTTCCGTAGAATTCAGTCTTTTGACAGCGTTTCAAGCGTATCACAATGAATTTGTCGTTAATACTGATTAAAAATTAATTAAAAGAGGAATACTTTTTCCCTTTCGATTTAAATCCAAATTATCAAGCGACGCTGCAATTTTTTAGAATGTAATACAAATTATTAACTACAAGAAAAATTATTTATTTACAATCTTCATTTCTATCAGTCTGACAATATTTTTTTTCCCCTATTTTCAGATTATTGTAATCGATTAAGGACGATCAGAGTCATAAATTCCCAAAATATTTATTTCATTTTACATCTCAATTTTTCTTGTATTTTCACAAAAAATGATAATTTTCTTTTATCATTTTAATTTTTCTTTTATTCGCTTCTCTTCGGCACGTTTTCATTCCCTCTCTGATTTACAACTTTTCTAATAAGATTTCGTGCCCTTCCCTCCCTCCCACCCTTTTCCCAAATCTTTAAAACCCCGTTCTTTCCGTGTACCTAAAAAATTGGCCTTAATTACTACACTATAATCAATTCTAATCACAGCAATATTTATTGTTGATATACACAATCATACAGCGTCTCACTACAGCTCAATGTCTGTGTTTGCTTTTTATTTCTTCATTTTTTTATTCTCTCTCTCTTAAATTGTTCTTTGTCCCTTGAAAGAGGCTACTCCTTTTAAATTATTATTTGTTTTTCAAAACCTCCCATCGAAAATAACTAGCTTTGAACATTTTTTTTTCCTCTCGCTTTTTAATATTACTTTATTTTTAATATTCTTTAAACCGTATAATAAAGTGGAGTTGAATTTACATTGAGCTTTTTTTTGAAAGAAGAGAACTAATTTTTTTTCGTTGGCAAATTTTTAAATTAATGAAATTTAATTATTTGAATAAATTAATTAACTTTTTATTGAGTTTATTTATTGAATTTTATCAAGTACTGATTAATTGACTAATCAGTAAAAATTAATATTAGTAATTATTATTACTAATAATTATTTATAATTATTTATTATTTATAATTTATAATTGCGAATAATGTTCGAAATTCAGAAAATTCTGTTATCAAGCTCAAAATTGATTAAATCCTAGAGAGACCCATGGATTTTTTTCCCCTTTTTTTTCAATGTTCCGCTGGTTTTAATTCAATGGGATTTTATCTATCGAGAGGATTAAAGGGGGTCAAGTGTGGGTAGATCGCTCTAAAAGAGATAGAGATGGGCTTGTGATAGGTGAAAGACGAAGAAGTTTCAGAAAAGCGTCTGGGGTATTGAAAAAAGAAAACTCCAGACGAAGATATAGAATTGATCGGTAATCGCATCGATGAAAGTTGTTCTCAGTGCGGTAAAAATTAGTCAGGGAAAAGAAGTTGAAAAATAATTTTTGTCTTCTCTGCACTTTTTCTTCAAAAATTAACTTTCTTTGTTTGTTTTCCAAACAATTTTCTTGCATTTTCCTAAAATCTTCTTGGTAAAAGATTCTTTTCACCATTTTTCCAAATGTTTTTCCTAATTGAATTTTCAAAAATAATTCCTATTTTGAAAATATTTCCGTTTTTTGGAGAAACTTTTACAAAAGTTTTAAAAGTTTCTTTTACAAAAATTAATTTTGTAAAAATGAAACATTTTTAGAAAACAATTTTCAGCTCATAAAAAAGAGTATTTTCTCCTTGTAAATAAAATGATATATAAAACTATCACACATGATGTTTTTCGAGTATTATTAGAAGATCCTGATGGAAGATTATTGGTGACAAATGTTTAACTGCGCTAGTTAATTAATTTTCGTGTTTCTAAATAATAAATTAAATAATTAAACGATTGAAATTTGATATGAAATCAATGTACGATAAAATTAATTAATTAGTAACAGTATACATTTATGGGAAGTTATTATTAGTTTATTTAAACTTGGATATATTTATAAATATTATATGGAAGCCATTGAAAACGTATGTGAATTTTGGTAAAAATTTATTTACCCTTCGGATACTTAGATTTTCGTCTCTTTATGAGAGATGAAATGCACGACGAGAGGAACGTACGGATAATTTATTTTTTTTATTGAGTTTTGCAACAACTTGAGCGTTTTTACGTAAAATTGAACAAAAAAATACGAATTTTTACAAATTGAAAAATTGTCTTTTCTAGAAAGCGCAAAAATTCACGATATACGATTCGATTAACTTTTTTTTTTCTTGCTTCAAATTGGCACGTGCCGGAAGTACTCGAGTACGATTCGAAGATATGTCAGGTTTTTTTTCATTCTTTAGGAAAAAACGATGAATATTTGTATAAGGATTCGTCGCCACTTACACGTTCTCGAATTTATTGTATTATGGACCCTTTGACTATCGAGTAAATCAGTGTTCGATGTTTATTTTTCGTTTCTTCCTTCAGGGAAAAAAAATCTTTTTTTTATATAAAGTCAAAAACATCTAGAATTTTTCACTATGATATGTTGAAATATTTTTTTGTTAAATTTCTTATCTTTACTCGTTAAATTATTCAAATAGAATTTAAACAGGACATCCTGTGAGGTAAATTGTATTTTGCCGGTAATTTTATTATAAAAGACTTTATTTTATAAAAAATATTAAATTTTTCATATTTATAAAAAAGAGAATCCGTATTAATTTTATTTCTAATTTATTACTAAATCTTGATAGTAAAATAATTTTCGAAATTAATAGTTTACTTTTACATAATTTAAATTTTCGTAAATTTACATCTTAAAATTGAAAATTATTCGAAAAATTGTAAATTATTCATTAATAAAAATTAATTGTTTATAATTAATGCAAGAGAATTTAGTACAGATATTCGAGATCAAGTTTCTTCAGAAGATATGATTGAATTGGTGACAAAGATTTTTTAAAAAAAATAGTATTTGTCAATATACTAATTACAAACTTTAGTAAATTTTCAAATATTAAAATTCTACGTACTTAAATTTCTAATCGAACACTGAATTTGAAGATATTGAATCCTTTTTTTTTTTTTTGCTGAAAAATACGCAACAGGTACAAATTTGCGAATTTCGTGAATAGATATGATGAACAGTGATTTTTAGAAATTACAAAAGAAAAATCACCTAATCGCGATAATGAGATCGTGTAAGCAACTTTTTTTTGGTTGGGGAGGAGAAGATGGACCCTCAATGGTTTCGAGGATAGAAATGAGATCGAAGTTGTAACGGACCAGAAATCGAAATACGATTTTCAACAATAAATAGAAAAGAAATTAAATAATTAATATTCTTACTAGTATTTTTTAGAATTTTTTCTCACAAATAATTATTTTCTAACAAATATTTATAAAACTTATTGCTACATAATTTAAAAATATAATTTTTAATAACAAAAACTTTCAATTTCATCATAGCGTATATTTATGCTTAATAATTATCATCGTTAAGATTATTATTGTACTTTGAGAAACGCTTTTTTTTAAATCTATATACGCTTAGAAGTCTATTAAAATATATTAAGTTTTAAATTACAATTTTGAATTACAATAAATTACAAAATTTTCCTTCTTTTAAATCTCGCATTTCTTAAATAAAAATTTATAAACTTACACAAGAGAATAACAAAAACAATAAAGTCTTTTTTTCAACAGAAAAAAGTGAAAAAATATTTTTAAAAATCAAATTTCTAAAATATAATTAAAGCTGCTTGCCTAATAATAAATTAGGATAATCTCAAATTCGAAGAATTCTAAATTCTTCCTTCACTCAATTTTTCTTTCACCAAAATTTGATGAAAAAAATCGATAAAATCTTTCGTTTTCGAAAAAAATAATTCTTAATTCGAAAAAAAATATTCTTTAATAAAAAATTTATTTTAAATCGACTAATTAAAAAATTAATCGATTATCAGTCCGTTGACAATGGTGGGAATTTTTTTCTTTAATGGAGGGAGAAAAAAGGGGTCGAGGAAAGGAGGACGCCTCCTATTTTCATCAAAGCAAAGAAGCTTTGATCTCGCACCTTCATTGCTCTATCTCCTCTAATTAATTTATTTTAATCGTATAATAAATATATATTGTATATATACTATATATCGTTATTTATTTATAATTCACTTAATAATTTTCTTTTTTTCTTTGTTTTTTTTTCTCTCTCAACAGAAGCCACTTTTTATCGCGCGTCCGAATTCATTAAAATTCATCAACTTCAACGGAATGATCAATTCAAAATTTCCATCGATATAATTTTAAAAATTCACGAAAAGAAAATTTCTATTTACCTTGATCCGGACATAAAAAAAATTTTCATTCAAAAAACACGGCGATCTCAAAACAATTATGTTTATAATAATAGTTAGACGATCGTTAAACCCGAAATGATCTTTTGAATCGCGTTCTCGCATATAGAAGCTGCGCAATAATTAAAAGCGATCGACTCGCTTAATAAATTGTATTATCAATACACACCCTCTTCTTTTATTTCTTCTCCCATTTTTTTTTATAAGCGCTCTTTGTGCGTTGAGCTCACGAGAAAGAATGTCCCCTTTTACACATTATTTGGGAAATTTGTCCTATAACCCCATTCCCCCCCCCCAACGTTTTCATAATAAATTTTTTCTTTTGTTCGTTCCTCTACTCGCTAAAAAGTATAAAATAGAATAGAAAATAAATATATTCAATTATAAGCTCCGATGAGTATCACAAAATGATTTCTCGTGTGCCGCTAACGCGTTGGAAATTTTTTTTTTTCTTTAAATCTTTTCTTTCATTCATTTTTTTTTCTCTTTTTACTTTTCTTTGTTTTTAAAAAAAAGGAACTCTACAAAACGTTACGCGGTGCGAAATAAAAAAAGAAACCGGCGTTGAAAATTTTGAAAACACCTCGCGCGCACTTTTCTCCACGAATTTGATTCGTGAAATGCATTAATATTTTTTTTTGTTTTGTAAAAATGGGATTTCTTTTTTGTTAAAAAATGCTAACAACCGGTCTAAGAAAGTATCTGATTTTTTGTCGTACTAGTTTATATAGAAATAATAGTAGGCAATAATTAATTAGTTAATTAATAATAATAATTCTTTTGTTTCATTTTCATCCTCTCGTTTTAAATATAAAAATGAAAACTAACGTATCTTTGGCTTGTTCCCTTTACCAATCGGCTGCAGTGTGTGATACTGCAGCGTTGCATTATTTTTTTTTTTAGCTTTTTTTTGTACAGTTTTTTGTACACTCGAGTGTTCGTGAGATGCTTTAAAGCAATCTCCGTGTGTGTTTGAGTTTGTGTATTTTTTTTTAGGTCTTATCTGTGTGTTGATGTGTGGGTGGTTTTTTTTTCCTTTTGGTTTGTGAATATTTTCTCGTGTGTTCATATAGTTACCTAGTGACTGTCATTGTGTATGTGGTACTTTTTTTTTGTTTCTCATCATGTCATTTTATAGCAAGCTGGTTGAACACAGTATGCGGCCAAGTCCCAGATGCCATTGACAGGTTCGTCGCGACACTGCGTCCTTCGATGGTGTCCCGCGAAAAATATTCGATAATTCCACTCTAGTGAATGGGGGACTTGACGATATGATTTGGCGTGATGTACTGAAATGTTGGAATCGCCATGCCACCAGTCTCTAATGATATCCTGAAACAAAATCAATTTTACTTTAGAATTTTTCACAATTATTTTTTCCACTATCGTAATATTTAATATTGTTTAAAAATTCCATTACTTTTCCTCCCTTATTTTTTTTATTTTATAGAAAAGAAGTTAATACGTAGAATTAAAGACTAAAATAATTAACTATTTGAATCTTGTCTATAAAGAGTTTGTTTATTTATAAATTATAAACTTTGAAAAATTTACTAAAAAAAACTCAATATATAAAAAATATCAATAAGCTTTTATTATTCATGAAATTTTTTTTATGACTGTAACTGCTTGGAATACTAACAAGGATCTAAAAGCCATTAAAAAAAATAGCACAGTGGCTTAATAGAGAGAAATCATGTATGCAAACATTTTTCTCTTTTTTAAATATAATAATAAATTTAACAAACGAGAAGTTAATTTTGAAAAAGGAGACAATTTTTTTACTACTGGAGTACTTTCACTATAAACAATTAATTACATATAAATATCATCTCTGGGTATTTTCATTTTTATTTTCTACCGATAAAACAAGTTTTGAATATCAAAGTGTGTTCCTTCCTCTGGAATTTAAAGTTTACATTGGAAATACGATCGAATGAATTATTATTGACACTTTTACAAATTTCAGTTTCTGCACGAATTATTCTTATTCATTGAACAGAAAAAATACAATTTTAAACAATAAATTACTAAATAGTAAACTAAATATAAATACAAAATAATAAAATTATTCTTCTCTCTCCAAAATAAAAAAATAAAATTAATATTTATATTAATAAATAATAAAATAATGGAAATATAAAAAAAATATTTTAGGCAAATTAAAGTAAATAAGAATAATTAAATTAAATTTAGTTAAATAAGAATAAATCAATTAAAATAAATAATAAGAATAACAATGTCAAAATAAAAAAAAATGCAAAAAATTTAGTGTTTCGATTGGAGTATGATGCAAAAAATGTAAGAGTACCCGTGTTTTTTTACATAATGATTTAAAGAAATAATAGATATTTTTTTTAACAAAAGAAAAAAATTTGTTTGCAAGAGAAACGGTCAAACGGGATAAGTAGTTAAAGAGGACTACAAAGGAGCGGATGGTGCTTACCGAAGACGGGCAGGAGCCTGGGTCAAGTTGGTTGGATGGATACATCTTCTCTCTCTCCCTTTCTCTCTCTACATCTCTCTCTGAATGTGTCTCCATTCTTCGGAATATTTGTATTGTACGTATTCATGTACACTGTTTTTTTTTATTAAATATACAAATTTTCATATACTCAAAAAAATATCAATTTGTTAAAATAATAAAACTATTACAAATTAAACAAAATTTCCACTATACTTTATTTTTCTTTTCTTAAAAAAACTACCCATCTTCATTTTTTTTAAATAAAACAAATTTAACCTTAATAAAGAATTACTGTTTAAGACAATTCAATTGTAAAGAATTACAAATTGAGAAGTTATGTACAAAAAAATTTTTTAATTATTTTTTGAGAAAAAAAATTCAAGTAATGAATTTTTGGTTTGAAAAAATTTTTTTCTCTCGTTTTATAAATTAAGGAAACTTTTTTTAATATTAAACACGCCTAGCTTTATTCAACAGTGTAATACATGATAGCAAATATTTTTGCTAAAGCACACGATGTATACGCTTTTTTTTGACTTGCGGTATGAAAGATTGCAAAAAAATTGAAGAAAACATCGTCGACTAAAAATGTATAATCGAAAAACAATCTTAAGTGATATCAAAAACTTCTTTCTCAGCTATCTTACCTTTATGATTTTCCAATTTATTTCTTTTTCTTTTTAAATAAAGAAATATTGAGAGATACGCCACTTAAATACTAAACGCGTTCACGAGATGATCATCTCACCAACAATCATTCAATTACCGGAACCATTCTTCGCAATTGTTCAATTCTTTTTCGAAAAGTCTACAAAATCTTAATCAAATTAAAATAAATTTTAATTTTAATTTTAATCAAATTAAATTAAATTAAAATAACATTCAATTTTAATTGAATTTAATTGAATTTAATTAAACATTTAATTAATACGAACAAAATATTGATATTTAATAATTAAGCGTAAAAACTGCTGTATCATTCAGTTTTTTTTTGTAAAAAAGCAAAGAGAACCAAAACTAGTGATTATTGAACAATCGGGTCCGATGTTTCAATAGAAGCATTGTCAAAATATTTTAATGAAGTTTGCTTTGAAAACACGATCGACAATCGGCATTTTCAAGTAATTATAATTGTTTCTCGTTTCTATACGAATTCCTATTGAGCATACGATGCCGCACATAACTAATTTGACTTGCACGTCATTTTTTTTTAATTCTCCTCGTCATGAAAAATTAACTGTCTTTTACATTTAGATGCAAAATTATCAGTAAATTTTTGGAAAATTCTTTCGAATCTCTAAAATCTGGACCAAAATTTCAACTGAAATCTCGACCATTTATAATATAAACCAAAAAAAAGAAATTTCGTTGGAAAAATAATCTGGTCCTTACAATGTATAAAATGTATAATAATCATCATCCATTTTTATCGCGAAATTCTTTATTTTTTTCTTGTTTCTTTAAAAAAAAAGTCAATTCACCTCAACCCAAAATTATTTGTAAATCTACATTCAATTTTAAATCGAAATGATTACAATGTGTGTGTAGAGAAAAATAAAGTATTTTCACGTGTCGAGCTTTTTTTTGGACGATCGAAGTGGAGAGACAAAATTTCTTTTAATTTACTGTGAATATACGGATATCTTGCGCAATAATTACGATTACAATACAATATTATGAATATTATTAATTCTTATGGTTTAATTCCTACAAATACAAATTTTATGTATACTAGAGATTATTTTCTAAAATAATAATCTAAATCGCCAACTCACGACAATAAAAACCTTAAATCTTTTTTTTTTTTTACTTTATCATATATGATAATAAGCTCTCCTATTTTCCCTTTTTCGAAAAAAGGGACAACGCGCGCGCCACATCACTCAAACAAGAATGTATTACAAATCAACGATCATGATTCTCTCTATATTTTCATCTTGATCCCGATTAACCAGACGAAAAACTTATTTTTTTTAAACAAAAATATTTAATCCGCTTCTTAATATTTATAGGAAAAAAAGAGACTTCTTAAAAAAAATATATCTTTTCTAAAAAAAAAAGGAATTCATGATATAATTTTAGGTACTAAAATCGAGATGTTAAATTTATAAAAAAATGTTAAATTTATCATGAATTGTCACCAAAGTAATTTAATAAATCACAATTAAGAAATACAAAATTTCGACGAAAGTAGAAAAAAACAATTTTTTTTATGACAAATTACCGCTTAAGAATCTACATTATTTTTTTGTTACCCTCTTTTTAACATACTCTTCTCGTTCACTCTTCACCCACTTTTACGTTCGACTATCACAAAAAGGATTTTTTTTCCATGTATCAGAATATAACTTATCTAAAAAACTCGATTGAAAATTTATTTTTTTCACAATAATAATAATATAAAAAAGACTAGGAGCCAGCCATCAAAATTTTTTCCAAAAAAGAAAAGTTCTCATCAAAAAAAAAATTTCTAGAAAAAAAATAATAATTTACGCAAGACTTGAAAATTTTCTTCTCACTAAACGAGGCAACTTAATGTTTATCGATGAAAAACAAGTTTCTTATTTAAACAAATTAATAAAAAATAAATTAAAATTACTTTAGACAAATATTTCTTTCCAATGTGTCGTTCGTATTTGTCCAAATCTGCATAAATCATAAAAAAAGCTTTTCACAGTCCAAAATGGTAGTAAAAAATAAAGTAACAAAAATCGAAAATAATACAAAAATCTCATAATATTCGATGAATAGAACATAAAGTACCCTCATTTTTTTTTTACGAAAAACAACCAATTTTGATTGTGGAATTTTGAGCTTGATATATGAGAAAAAAAATATTCTATGGCTCCTATGGCAAAAAAAAAATAACAGTAATTTTATTTTACGTCGCTCGATTACAATGTGTAAACGTTTCGAGAATAACTTATAAGTATCGTACAAATTTACTGTGGCGGAAGCTCGACACGCTGTCTACGCAGACGACGTAGCTTCAAAAATTCCCTGTTATTCAATTTCAGAGACAGGTGTATGCGTATCCGAAAATTACGCACAAATTAAACGCAACAAAAAAAAGCTCTGCTTGGCAAATTACAATATAGCAAATGTAGTCATCATTATCATCGCAGGGAAAATAGTTTCGAGCCTTGTGTCTATTTTCGTCCCAAATATTTATTCCTGGTACAATAGTGAGTTTAGAAAAAGAATTTTTTTAACTTATATTTATAATTGAGGGTCCCAATCAAAAGAATCGTTTACTATTTTTTTTAACCCGATCAAAAGAATCGTTTGTAATTTTTTCAACCGGATCGAAAGAATCGTTTATCATTTTTTTAACGCCATCAAAAGTATCGTTTGTAATTTTTTTTAACCCGATCAAAGAATCGTTTGTACTTTATTTTAACCGGATCAAAAAAATCGTTACTAATTTTTATAATCCGATCTAAGAATTCTTTGTCATTTTTTAAAACTCAAATTGTCCTATGAATTAAAAATTAGAAACTTTTTCGAAATCATAAATTTTCGAAGGAATATTTTTGTAATTTTTATACAAATACAAGATTTTTTTTACGAAAAATTGAAATTCTATTTTTTTTAAATTCCGAGGTCGAGAATTTTGAGTCTTGGAAAATTATAATAGGTTTTTTTTTATCGGAACCCTCAATTATATAAGTAGTCTCTAAATTTGAAAATAAACGGAAATTTCACTTAGAATTAATCAAAAGTCGTTGCACGTAAGAAAATAAGTGTTTAATTTAACAATAAGTGATTTTTCCTTATTTTTACTAAATTTTTTCTCAAAAATAAGTGAAAAATCATTTATCTATAAGTGCACGGAGAGAAAATAAATTTTAAATTTTCTAAAAGT